GAAGATGGATGGATGGATCTTAGCATGCCCTGCTAAATAGCTCTGCTTACTAGAAGCACAATACAGATAACAATAAGACAATCTGTAGAAAAAGTATGTACATGCAATATCAGAAACAGGCATGTTCTGAAAACCCTTGTTCAAAATTCACTATTGGGACCGTTAGGAAAGTAGTGCTTCTGCTGCTTCTGTGGTTATTTCTTTTAGCATTCAATGAAATGTAAACAAGCTCAGCTGCGATGCGGTGCACTTATACTGGTGCATAAACACATTGCTTTCCCCATGCTGTAAATAGGAAATAAACTCCCTGCTGTCTCCCTTCTCTTGAATATAACGCCACACAATTAGTGATTTGCTTTATAGCAGTAGACAGTATTACATGAGTTGAGTGCAACATTGCACTGTATTCCCACTTGGCAGCAACACTTTCTGCAGCCATCATATGTAACAACTTTCCTGTGGAAACCTGGAATTGTTAATTGTTTAGATTGAAAAATGTCCAAAATATGCTGTACAAGCTAGAATCTAAAAGGTTATCATAATAAGCCGCAACATGTATTAACTTGGATTTGAATAAACAGCTGGTAGGAACATTGAAGATCAGCAAGCTATTAAATATAAATCTAATGAAAGGTCTGCAGAAAGTAATACAGGGGGCAAAGGGACTTGACAATCAGGATCCTTTTATTTTCAGCTAGTTATGGAACACAGTGTACAGCAGGCCAGTGCTCTGCTTACCTGCTGGTTAGACTCCATCCCAATATAGGAGTTCCTGGAACTGCAGTCCACTGGTGGAGTCTCTTGTCGGATGAAGTCTGCCATCTCAATACCCCCTCCAGGGTCCCTTTGCAGACACACAAACACATGCACATCGATGGAAACTACTGAGTTCACCAAGATTGTTCAGCCCTGTTACATGCCATTTATCTCCTTCAGTCAAACAGAAAGAAGATGGCAGCAGCTTCAATTTAGGGAAAACACACCAAGTGAACTTCTTAAACAGGCCTTTATTTTAAATATTTTGCACAGGCTTTGAAATTCCACAGAGAGAAAACAGATGAAAGCATCCATGATTTTTTTCTGGGTCTATATTTAGCCCAGACGTGCTTATTTAACCAGATGGTATGTAGAAACAAACAACTTGCCAGGGATATAAATCATTTCCATATGCCAAAACTGCATCATAGCAGGTCAGACCACAAAACAACACTTAAAGAAATCAACCACAACATGTAGCACCAAAAAAAAAAATACTGGAAAAAATGGAGCAGGAAGTGGGGAAATTGAGTGGGTGGTGGAAGAGGAAATAAAGAAGAAGAAGGAGAAGAAAAAACACCTTAATGAATGTCATCTGAGCTTGTCGGCTTCACTGCAAACTCAAACAACCTGGAATGCTGTTCCAGATGTGTGGGCAAAGCTATGACTGGTTGAGAGGTCTCATTCTCTTTTTTTTTT